CCACTACTACCATCCATCAACCACGGACAACCTCCTCTCTGCCATTCACAACTTCCTCTATCACATCCGCCAACCCTTCCTCCTGTACCTCCTCACCTTCTGGATACTCGGCCTCATCTACCTAACATACTCTCTCACAATCCCACTCGACGTTCTACACCTACGGTCACACCTACGCACTGCCGTGCTATCACCTCTTGTACTACTTACCAACTACACACAACCACATGACATCACATACTTCCAACCGTAATCCACTACTCACTCCACTACTACCATCCATCAACCACGGACAACCTCCTCTCAGCCATCAACGTCTTCCTCTACCACATCCGCAAACCCTTCTTACTATACCTCCTCACCTTCTGGCTACTCGCCATCAACTACCTAACATACTCACTACTCGTCCCACTGGACCTACTCCACATCCTCTCACATTGGCGCCTTGCCTCCACCCATCACCTCCTACCACTGCATCTACTTACCAACTATTCACAACCACATGACATCACATACTTCGTAGCATAATGTAATACTCACTCAATTCCACTACTCACCTACTAACTCCACTACTACCATTCATCAACAACAGACAACCTCCTCTGTACCATCAACCTCTTCCTCCTTTCCATCCGCAAACCCTTCCTCTACTACCTCTTCACCTTCTGGATACTCGTCCTCAACTACCTCCTCTACTCACTACTCTTCCCCCTGGACCTCCTCCACATCCTCTCGCATTGCCGCCTTGCCTACACCCATCACCTGCTACCACTACATCTACTCACCGACAACATCCCCGCACCTACTACATTGTACTTCAAACCGTAATCTACTACTCACTCTACTACTACCATCCATCAACCACAGACAACCTCCTCTCGGTCATCAACATCTTCCTCTACCACATCCGCCAACCATTCCTCCTGTACCTCCTCACCTCCTGGCTACTCGTCCTCATCTACCTAACATACTCACTAACAATACCACTCGACGTTCTACACCTACGTTCACACCTACGCACTGCCGTGATATCACCACTTGTACTACTCACCAACTACACACAACCACCTGACATCACATACTTTACACCGTAATCTAATACTCACTCTATTCGACACCTCACCTACTCACTCCACTACCCACTATTCCACCTCACCTTCTGGCTCATCGCCATCATCTACCTAACATACTCACTAACAATACCAGTCGACGTTCTACACCTACGGTCACACCTACGCACTGCCGTGCTATCACCACTAGTACTACTTACCAACTACACACAACCACATGACATCACATACTTCAAACCGTAATCTAATACTCACTCCACTACTACCATCTTTCAACTGAAGACAACCTCCTCTCAGTCATCAACCACTTCCTCTATCACATCCGCAAACCCTTCCTCTTGTACCTCCTCACCTTCTACCTACTCTCCATCACCTACCTCCTCTACTCTCTACTCTTCCCCCTCGATCTCCTTCACATCCTCTCGCATTGGCGCCTCGCCTACACTAACCACCTACTACCACTGCATCTACTCGCCAACAAGATCCCCGCACCTACTACATTGTACTACCAACCGTAATCTACTACTCACTCCACTACTGCCATCCATCAACCACGGACAACCTCCTCTCAGTCATCAACAACTTCCTCACGTGCATCCGCAAACCCTTCCTCCTCTACCTCCTCACCTTCTGGATACTCGCCATCACCTACCTAACATACTCACTAACAATACCGCTCGACGTTCTACACCTACGCACTGCCGTGCTATCACCACTAGTACTACTCACCAACTACACACAACCACATGACATCAACTACTAACTCCACTACTACCATCCATCATATAACTACAACCTCCTCTCAGTCATCAACCTCTTCTTCACCTTCTGGCTACTCGCCCTCATCTACCTAACATACTCACTAACAATACCACTCGACGTTCTACACCTACGGTCACACCTACGCACTGCCGTGATCATACCACTAGTACTACTTACCAACTACACACAACCACATGATATCACCTACTCACTCCACTACTACTATCCATCATATAACTACAACCTCCTCAAAGAAATCAACCTCTTTGTCACCTTCTGGCTACTCGCCATCACCTACCTAACATACTCACTAACAATACCACTCGACGTTCTACACCTACAATCACACCTACGCACTGCCGTGATATCACCACTAATACTACTCACCAACTACACACAATCACATGACATCACATACTTCAAACCGTAATCTAATACTCACTCTATTCGACACCTCACCTACTCACTCAACTACTACCATACATCATATAACTACAACCTCCTCTCAGTCATCAACCAATTCTTCAACTTCTCGTTACTTGCCATCATCTACCTAACATACTCACTAACAATACCACTCGACGTTCTACACCTACGATCACATCTACGTACTGCCGTGCTATCACCACTAGTACTACTCACAAACTACACACAACCAAATGACATCACCTACTCACTCCACTACTACCATCCATCATATAACTACAACCTCCACTCAGTCATCAACCTTTTTGTCACCTTCTGGCTCATCGCCATCACCTACCTCCTTTACACACTAACAATACCACTCGACGTTCTACACCTACACACTGCCGTGCTCACACCACTAGTACTACTTACCAACTACACACAACCACATGACATCACATATTTCAAACCGTAATCTAATACTCACTCTATTCGACACATCACTTACTCACTCCAATACCCACTACTCCACCTCATTTTCTGGCTACTCGCCATCATCTACCTAACATACTCACTAACAATACCACTCGACGTTCTACACCTACGATCACACATACGCACTGCCGTGCTCACACCACTACTACTACTTACCAACTACGCACAACCACATGACATCACCTACTCACTCCACTACAACCATCCATCATATAACTACAACCTCCTCTCAGCAATCAACCTTTTCGTCACCTTCTGGCTACTCGTCATCATCTACCTAACATACTCACTCACAATACCACTCGACGTTCTACACCTACGATCACACCTACGCACTGCCGTGATATCACCACTGCATCTACTTAACAACTACACACAACCACATGACATAACATACTCACTCCACTACTACCATCCATCATATAACTACAACCTCCTCAAAGACATCAACCTTTTCGTCACCTTCTGGCTACTCGTCATCACCTACCTAACATACTCACTAACAATACCACTCGACGTTCTACACCTACGTTCACACCTACGCACTGCCGTGATATCACCACTAGTACTACTCACCAACTACACACAACCACATGACATCACCTACTCACTCCACTACTACCATCCATCATATAACTACAACCTCCTCTCAGC